CGGGGCACGAGGCGGGTCTTGAAGGGGGCGGGGCTATAACTAAACGGGGCGAAAGGGGCGTGGTCAACGGAAAGCTGGGGGGCATAGTCTAAAAGGGAGATGGAGCGAGGGCTGGTTTTCAGTAGAGGAGCAGACCAGCCCCCCCCCAAAAAAGGTGCAAAACACCAAAAAAGTAGATTTTGGAAAGTCAGGTTCTCAGGCAGATGGAGAATAGGGTGTAATTCCAAGGGAAGTCACCCCATTCCCTAAGAGCACCTTATTTCTCTAACCTCTAAGGAAAGGACACAGGATTTGGAGTCAGACACCTGTGCTTGCTGGTGCTGCCACTTAATGGCTCTGTGGCCTTGGATAATCTCTTAATCTTTCTGAGCCTCAGTTTCCTCATCTGTCAAATGGGGTTAAATACCTAATTCACCGTGTTGTTGTGGGGAGTTATTCACATAACAGATGTGAACATTTTTAAACTGTAAAGGGCTGTGCCATCATGAGATTTTATCATTCTTCTCTCTTTTTCTTCCCAGAGACCCCCCCGGCTGCCCTCCTCCTTCCTTTGTTCCCGTGGCTGGGGGGGTATCCCCTCCCTCCACAACATGGAGCCATCTCCTCTGTCTCCCGGTGGGGCAGCACTCCCTCTGCCTCTATCGCTGGCTCCACCCCCACTACCCCTGCCAGCGGCTGCAGTGGTACATGTGTCCTTCCCTGAAGTGACCAGTGCTCTTCTGGAATCCCTCAATCAGCAGCGGCTGCAGGGCCAGCTCTGCGATGTGTCTATCCGAGTACAGGGCCGGGAGTTCCGGGCTCACCGAGCTGTCCTGGCAGCCTCCTCCCCTTACTTTCATGACCAGGTCCTACTCAAGGGCATGACCTCCATCTCACTGCCCAGCGTCATGGACCCAGGCGCCTTTGAGACTGTCCTGGCCTCTGCTTACACTGGCCGCCTCAGCATGGCTGCTGCTGACATTGTCAACTTTCTCACAGTGGGGTCTGTGCTCCAAATGTGGCACATTGTGGACAAGTGCACTGAACTCCTCCGAGAAGGCCGGGCCTTGGCCACCACCACCATCACAACTGCTGCAGCCACCTCTGTCACTGTCCCTGGTGCCGGAGTCCCATCAGGGAGTGGGGGCACTGTGGCCCCTGCCACCATGGGCTCTGTGCGTTCCCATGCCTCCAGCCGGGCCAGTGAGAATCAGTCTCCCAGCAGCAGCAACTACTTCAGCCCCCGGGAGTCCACTGATTTCTCATCTTCCTCCCAGGAAGCGTTTGCAGCTTCTGCAGTAGGCAGTGGGGAGCGTCGAGGAGGTGGCCCTGTATTCCCAGCCCCTGTCGTTGGCAGTGGGGGGGCCACCTCTGGGAAGGTGCTGCTGGAGGCAGATGAGCTGTGTGATGATGGCGGGGATGGGAGGGGGGTGGTGGTTCCTGGAGCTGGGCTCCGGAGGCCCACCTACATGCCCCCTAGCATTATGCCACAGAAACATTGGATATATGGGAAGCGAGGTGGGAACTGCCCAGCACCAGCACCCCTGGTTCCCCAAGACCCAGATCTGGAGGAGGAAGAGGAGGAGGAAGACCTGGTGTTGACCTGCGAGGATGATGAAGATGAAGAGCTGGGGAGTGGCTCCAGGGTTCCAGCAGAGGGAGGGCCTGAGGCTACCCTCAGCATAAGCGATGTTAGAACCCTGAGTGAGCCTCCAGTCAAGGGGGAGGAGCAGGTCAACTTCTGTGAGTCCTCCAATGACTTTGGCCCCTATGAGAGTGGGGGTCCTGGGGCAGGGCTTGATGATTCAGGGGGGCCCACTCCCTCCTCCTATGCTCCCTCCCAGCCTCCCCGACCCCTCCTTCCTTTGGACATGCAGGGCAACCAGATCCTGGTCTTCCCATCGTCTTCATCCACCTCCTCCTCCTCCTCACAGGCTCCAGGCCAGCCCCCAGGGAACCAAGCTGAACACGGGGCAGTGACCCTCGGGGGCACGTCAGTGGGGGGCCTGGGCGTGCCCGGTGGTGCTGGTGGGGTCCCTGGAGGGACCAGCAGTGGGGACGGGAATAAGATCTTTCTGTGCCACTGCGGGAAGGCCTTCTCCCACAAGAGCATGCGGGACCGGCACGTGAACATGCACCTCAATTTGCGGCCCTTTGACTGCCCTGTGTGCAACAAAAAGTTCAAGATGAAGCACCACCTGACTGAGCACATGAAGACGCACACAGGTCTCAAGCCCTACGAGTGTGGCGTCTGCGCCAAGAAGTTCATGTGGCGAGACAGCTTCATGCGTCACCGGGGACACTGTGAGCGCCGCCACCGCCTGGGTGGGGGCGGGGCTGGACCTGGACCTGGGACGCCCACGGGGCCAGTCTTGCCGCCCAAGAGAGAGTCCCCCAGAACGGGCGGAGGCAGCAGCGACGAGGCCAGTGGGGCCACGCCCCAGTCCAGCAGACGTGTCTGGTCCCCACCCAGCGTCCCCAAGGTGGAGATGGGCTTCAATGGGGGCGGAGGAGCAAATTGAAGGGTCAGGCTACTGCGGGTAGCTTTCGGGGAAGAGGGAATAGGGAGCACGATCCAGGGGCGCTGTGGCCCCGAGGTGCTCTTCCACTGCACTACTGTCTTCCTTTGTCTTTATGGACTTGTGTATATTATGGAGGGGGAACCACATTGTACCATCGCCAGCCCATTCCACTCCTCAGTCCTTGTGTCCTAAGGTGTCCCTGGAACTAAGCCCGTCCATCTCTGTTGAGTACACCGAAGCCCCAGCTCCAGAGTGGGGTGCACATGGAGCGGGGAGGGAGATGGGGCGTGTTCAGCATCCTGGAGTCACAGGGTCAAGGGTCAGGTGGTTGTAGTCTGTGCCTGAAGTCTGTGTTTGTGTTGTGGGGATCAGGCCTTTGAGCCCTACCCTTGTCTTAGAACTTACCCCCTCCAGAAGGATATGCTGTTTATTTCTACCCTATTTCTCCTGCCCCTCACCTCCCTTGGGGATCCCCAACTCGGTTTTCATGGGGGAGTGGGTGGAGATAAGGAGGGAGTAAGTCGTAGGAGTACGAAGCTTTTATTTTATTTTTTTTAACAGTGATTAAAATATTTATTGGTCATTTCACTTGGCTTCCTGACAACCCCTATGTGTTTGCTGGGGACCCCGGCACAGGTGGAGGAGAGCCGGAGTAATGGTTCTAGGGGAAGTGGATGCTGGAGGGGGGATACGGGAGGGGAAGTCTAGGTTTGGGGAGGGCTCGAATTCGGCGCGGCTAGGTGGCCCAGGAGGGCACGGTAGGGCTGGGGTGTCCGGACGAGAACTGGAGAGGATGTCCCCGGATCCCGTTCTGGCCAGTGGGGGGCGCACCCACCTCCCAGGCACCCATACCCAACCAGAGCGGGGATTTCCTCCGCCCCTCCTGCTGGCCTTCGGAGGAAAGTGAAAGTGAAAGGCGGGAAGAAGAGGCTTCCGGGCTGATGAGATCAAAGCGCCATGAAGCCCCTGTCTCTGCTCCTCGCTGTGGCTTTGGGTGAGCGAACCCCGCGACTCCTCGTCCAGGAACGGGAGGGTGGGGGAAGCAGAGGGAGGTGGCCCCATCGGGCGCCCGATGCCAGGATGGAAGGGGCAGGTCACCCGACATCCTGGCCCCCCTCACTAGAGCTCCTCTCCCCAGACCTGGCCGCCGCGGTCTCCGCGGGACCCGCGGTGATCGAGTGCTGGTTTGTGGAGGATGCCAGCGGGAGCAACCTGGCCAAGAGACCTGCTGCGCTGCTGCTGCGCCAGGGACCCGGGGGACCGCCGCCCCGGCTGGACCTCGACCCTAAGCTCTACCTCAGAGTGCACGGTGAGTCCTCGGGACCTGCCCCCACATCTGTCGCCTCCACCGAAACCCCTTCCTCTTTAGATCGGGCAGTGACCTGAAGCCTCAGTTTCCCCCTCTGTAAAATGAGTCTGGACTGCCTGTACATCTCCCGCTATGAGAAAATCTGTGCGGTCGAAGTTCCCCGAGCGCCGCCCTTCTAGCCCCTTTCCCGGCCACGACTCTGTCGCCGCAACTCGCTTCTCCGCACTCACAGACCCTGCTGGCGCCCTCCAGGATGCCCTCAGGCGCTACCCCCGGGACGCCCCTGCGCCGCACTGCGAGATGAGCCGCTTCGTCCCGCTCCCCGCCTCTGCGAGCTGGGCCAGAGGCCTGACCCCGGAGCGGAGCTGCCCTCGAGCCCTGGACGGGGCTTGGCTGATGGTCAGCATGTCCAGCTCTGTTCTCAGCCTCTCCGGCCTCTTGCGACCACAGCCAGAGCATCGGCAGGAGCCGGTTCCCATCACCGAGGCAACAGGTAGCTGGGGAGGGGAGGTGGAGATGGACAGGTAGATTCTAAGGGTCCACATCAGCCGGTGACGCGCTGTGTGGACTTGAGCGAGACATTTCCCCAACGGCTTTCAGTTTCCTTTTTTGTAAAGCGAGGCGTTTTGGCTAGGATTAGTGTATCTCCACGGCTGCTTCTAGCCCTCCCCTAGTTTAAAAAAAAACAAAAAAACCCTGTGGCTTGGAGGCGGGGCTTTGGGGAGGCGGGGTTTCCAGACACCGACCTTGGGGAACTTGTTAGGGAAAGGGGACGGGAGGAGTTCGGAAGCCAGGGCCGCGTTCTCCGCTCCTCCCAGATCTGTATCTGGCGAGGCACCCTGAGCTTTGCGGTTCACCCTGTTTCAAAAACCAGCCCCGAGTCTCACCCGCGCCCACACTCGGTGCTGTGACAGTCGGCAGAGCAGAGGCTCTTGCACCCAAGCGCGTTTACCTTTCCTGACAGCCGCTTCCCTGAGGCGCGAGGGGCTGCGCGGTCTCTCAGCGGTCCGCACACGGCGGGCGTGAGTGCGCGGAAGGCGCGAGGTGGGGGACCCGCTGGTTCCCACTGCAAAGACCGCTTTCGGCGTGGCGCAGCGCGATTTGAGGCCCAGGGGTCGGGCGCTTTGCGGGGCTGGGTTGCGGGCAGCAAGCGGGAGGATAATGCAAAAATGGAGAGGACCTGACTCGGACATCCAGGAGCTCTCCGTCCTCGCAGCAGAGGCAGGGTAGGGTACCGCTAGCGTCCTTGGCTTCTCTATCTGCTACGCTTTTATGTAAACAATACAGCCTCTCGGACAGGTCAACCCCAACCGGGCCCTGTACCCTCCCTTCCTCAGTACCTGAGAATCACCCACAGGACCAGGGAAACAGACCTGGCATCCACCCCCAAACCCTCACCACCTCTGCCTACACCTCCGTGCTCTACCCCGGGCAGGGACTGAGGAAAACTGCTCTCTGTGGGGAGAGGAGCTGTCTCCAGTAGGGAGGAATATTTCCTAGGGCTGCTGGCTTCGCCGAGGTGGCGGTGACAATGACCTTTGCTTTCAGAGTCTGTTTTTCCAGCTGTAAAATGTGGATATTATTTCCCAACTGTCTTTCCGTTGTTGTGACTATCAGGAGGGGCACTGTGTTAATTTCTTGGTTGATTCAATAAATACTCATTAGCACCAAGAATAAGTTAGGGCTGAGTAGTTCTCAGCCCAGGTTGTGAATATGAATCCTGTTGGAAGCTTTTAAAATATATCAAAACTTCTTTCACACAGGTCTGAGACTTGCTAAAAATAACTAACTAAATAAAAAATAGGCCAGGCGTGGTGGCTCATACCTGTAATCCTAGCACTCTGGGAGGCCGAGTCGGGCGGATTGTTTGAGCTCAGGAGTTCAAGACCAGCCTGAGCAAGAGCGAGATCCCGTCTCTACTAAAAAATAGAAAGAAATTAGCTGGACAACTAAAAATATATATATAAAAAATTAGCCGGGCATGGTGGCGCATGCCTGTAGTCCCAGCTACTCGGGAGGCTGAGGCAGGAGGATCGCTTGAGCCCAGGAGTTTGAGGTTGCCGTGAGCTAGGATGACGCCACGGCACTCACTCTAGCCCGGGCAAAACAGTGAGACTCTGTTTCAAAAAAAAAAAATAATAAAAAATAAAGTATACCCAAACCTGGGTCCCTCTCAAGGCCACTTAAGTCAGAATCTCTGGGGTAGCCCTGGACAATTTTAAGGGTCATAAAGGTGATTAGATTTATATTCTGCTCTCAAAGAGGTTCTGGGCAGACTTGTCAGGGATAATCCTACTGTAAAGTAGAAAGTGACTTGTGCCTATGAAGGAAGTGCGGATAGGGAGCCCCCCCCCCAGATTGTCTGCTTCTCACAGACTGATTGGGGGATGGGGGAAAAACAAGTAGTTGTGCTCTGTCTTTTCAAGCATTTCTGCTTGATTAGGGATTCAAGAAAACAAATGCTGTTATTTTGATATAAAATTAGAAATGGAATCTCTCCAGAGTCAGAGATCATTGATAATTTTGCTAATATATGTATATATTATTTCTCATCAAATATTTTTAAGTATTTGTTGCAAATATACTTTTTAAATATGCTTTGCATATATAGTGTTTAATTCTTACCATTCTTTTAAAACACTGTGGAAAATTTCAAAGATACATAAAAGTAGAGAGAATAGTATAGTGAACCCACCATACCTGTTACTCAGTTATATAGTTATTACGTTTCACCAAATTGTTTTACCTATCCTCCCTCCAGTCTCTTTTTTATTTTTATTTTTTGCAGTGTTTTAAAGGACCATATTATTTTACTCATTAGTACTTCAGTAAGCATTTCTATTAAATAAGGACTTTATTTTTTCTTTAACTCATGAAGTAAAATAGCATATATAAGGACTTAAAACCATAACCACAATACCATTATCACACCTAGCAAAACAAATAATAATTCCTTAATATCATGTAATTCCTAGCCTGTATTAAAATTTTCTTGATTGTCTCAATGATGTTATATTACAGTTGATTTGCTCAAATCACAATCCAAAACAGGTTCATATTTTATATTTGGTTGTTGTATTGTTATTCTCTGGCTGCCATAACAAAACACCATAAACTGGGTGGCTTAAACAACAGAAATTTATTTTCTCAAGTTCTGGGTGCTAGAAGTCCAAGATCAAGGTGCCAGCAGGCTTCATATCCAGTGAGGGCTCTCCCCTTGGAACGCAGATTGGGGACTTTTTGCTGCGTCCTCACGTGGGAGAGAGAGAAAGGGCACTGGCGCCTCTTCCTCTTTTCATAAGGACACCAGTTGCATTGAATTAGAGCCCTGCCCTTTATCACCTCCTCACAGTCCTGACCTCTAAATACACGGAGGTCAGGGCTTCAACATATGAATTTTGGGGGACCCAAACATTCAGCCCATAACAATCGTTTGGTCTCTTGCAACTTTTTTTTTCTATAATTGACATCCCCTCCCTTAAAAAAATTGCTATTGATTTGTTGGAGAAACCTGGTCATTTGTCCTGTAAGATTTCCCACATACTATGTTTGGCCAGTTGTTTCCTCATGCTGTCATTTATCTTGTTCCTTTTACCTCCATATTTCCTATAATTTGGTAGTTAGGTCTAAAGGCTTGATTACATTTGGATTTAAGGTTTTTTTCAGTAATACTTTATAATTAGTTGTTACTATTCACTTTTTTTTTTAACAGAAAAGCAAAAACTTGTTATTACAAGCTACAAAAACAGAACTTTTCCTTACTTTCTGGCTTTCTGGCCCTGTTTATATACATTTGTATTCTTGCAGAGTACAGTTTATGGGATGCAGGTCTAAAATTGCTTCCAATAAAGGTCACTGTTAGCTTAAGGGTTAAACTATAAAACTTTTAGGTTTAGTTCATTAATCCTGTGTATTTTTTTTTCACAATTCAAAAGTATGTTTCTGGATTTTGCTAAACTAAGTGAAACTGCATACTTTTTTTACCCTACTGAACTAAAACAATCCCATGAGGTTGAGAAAAGTTCAACTGTATAGGCCTCAGAAGCTAAGATTAAAAATAACAAAAAGATAATTATAAGAAGAAAAAGATTACTTCTACCTGGAGGACGTAGGCATTTCTGGGAGAAATAACAGTGGAACTGACCTTGAAGGATGTGGAGTATTAGATGTTTGGGAGAAAATGGGAAAGATGTTGTAAATTGAAGGAAACTCATAACCAAAGTGAAGAGATGCCCAATGATTAAAGCTTCTACTGCTAGGCACAAAAAAGGGATTCTATGGGGCTGGTTCATAGGGTACAAGAGAAATCTCTTGGAAAGGTGGGTTAGGAGCTGAATTTTCAAATATCTTCAAAGCTGGTCTTTATTCTACAGGTGATAGTGAACCATCAGAAGTTTTTTTGTTTTTTTTTGAGGAGGGTCATTCTAAAAAGCCTGTTATTTTACTTGATTCTTATAAAAGGTAGGCAAGGATAGGATCACTGGACTAGTGAGAAAAATATAGGCTAAGTGATTTTCCCAAGATGCCCAGAAAGTCTTTGACAATGATGAAGGTAATGGAAATATAACAACTAACATTTATCAAGCATTTTCTATATGCCAGGCCCTGTTCTAAGCACTTTATATGCATAATGTCATTTATTCCTCTCAACAACCATAGGACATAGGTATTAATATTATTCCCAGGTGAAGAAATCTGAGACACAGAGCACTTAGGTAACTTGCCCAAGGACACACATCTTGTAAGAAGCAGGGCTAGAAATTGAACTCAGGCCATGTAGCTCTAGCCTGTGCCTTTAGCTGCTGACTTCCTAGGTAACTGGGATTTTTAAACAGGTAAGTGACCCGATCAGCCTTGTAGCAATGTTGTTTGAGTACAGTATGAAGGAAGAATTAAAGGAAAGAGAGACTGAGGATAGGGAGACCAGAGAGGAGGCGGTTGTAATTGTCCAAATGTACATTGATGAGAACCTGAGTGGTGCGTGAGATCTGTTAGGGCCTGGTGGGGATAGCACGCAGCACATTATTTTTGGTGATTTGCTTGTCGCTCCCTAGACTGTAAGCAATGTGAGGGCAGGAACTGCCTGTCTTGTTCACCACTCTGTTCTCTACCACACCTTGAACATCCTAGATGCTCAATAAATCATTGTTGAGTAAAGGAATGAGAGGAAGGAGTCTGAGTGACTCCAGGTGTTTGCCTTTAGTGTCTGGGGGGCTGGTGGTGACCATTCATCAAAGTTAGAGATGATGGGCATTAGAGCAGGGTGCAGGAATGTTGCAGAGATGCTGTTCAGTTGGGTTATATTAAGTTTGTCTGGCAGATGGTCAGGTGTAACCATAGCAAACACTTTTGTAGACTTACTGTGTTCCAGACACTGTTCCAAATACCTTTCATATATAGGTGTCTTTGTTATCTAAAATCAGGAACTGAATAGATTTGGGTAGCAAGAGGTATTAAATGATTTAACCCTCTCAACAACCTCATGAGGTAGGTACTATCATCATCACTATCACCATCATCATCATCATCATCCCTATTTTACAGATTTGGAAGCTGAGCCATGGAAAAGTGAAGTAAGTGGCCCAAGGCCATATAAATAAGCTGCAGAATTGGGATTTGAACCAGGGCAGCCAGGCTCCAGGCACTTGGCCACTGCACACTGCACTGCTTCAGTAGAGCACACAGGTCTGTGCTCAGATCTAGGCTAGAGCTGGAACCTTCCGGGGTCAGTAAACACTCTGTACGGCACCATAGGATTGACAGTCATGGCTCAATCACTAGTCTTCACTAGTAACCAAGCAAGGCCTGGTTCTTCAAGGGTGGTGCTTGGAGACTAGACTGGTTCAGGTTGTGTTAGAAGTACCCTCAGATCCTGCTGTCCCCAGAGCTAGAGTCAGCTGTGTGTTCAGAGCAGGCTTCCAAGGGCATACCCCCGCACTGCCCCTATTCACCCCTAGATCTCTCTGCTTGCTCATTCAGCCACACTGGGTCCCACCCAGTCCCAGGCAAAGGGGATTTGCAGGGAGGGCTGGGAGACAGCATCAGAAAAGGAGGTGTCTATGTGGGTTGGGTGAATTGGAGTTCACTCTTCCCTATAACTCCATTTCTCTCCCTCTTTTTTTCTCCTTCTTTCTCTCTCATGCCCCTCCTACTCCCTCATCCTTCTCTCTTCCCCAGTGGTGCTGACTGTCCTCACTCACACCCCTGCCCCTCGAGTAAGATTGGGACAAGATGCTATGCTGGACCTGAGCTTCGCCTACATGCCCCCCAGCCCCGAGACTGCCTCATCTCTAGCCCCAGGTCCCCCTCCCTTTGGGCTGGAGTGGCGACGCCAGCACCTAGGTAAGGGGCATCTGCTCCTGGCTGCAACTCCTGGCCTGGATGGGCAGACGCCAGCAGCCCAAGAAGGGGCAGTGGCATTTGCTACTTGGAATGATGATGAGCCATGGGGCCCATGGACTGGGAATGGGACCTTCTGGCTGCCTGCAGTGCGGCCCTTCCAGGAGGGCACCTATCTGGCCACCGTACACCTGCCATACCTGCAAGGACAGGTCACCCTGGAGCTTGCTGTGTACAGTGAGTGGGAGGACAGAGGTTTCCACGGGCAGTGGGTGGGTGCTGGATCATGGGGACACCATGATGGGGAAGGGATGTTGGAGAAGAGGGTGCCTGGGTAAGTGGAGATGGGGATCCCTGGGAGTCAGAAGGGTAATGGGAGGGTGGAGGGTCCCTGGAAACCTGGGCGGCTTTGGCATGGGGATTACTGTGAAGCACCAATGGAGAGACAGTGGGTTCCCCATCCCAGGAGAAGAAACCCAAACCCCACTCAGGTTTGGGGAAGCCATAGGTTAGACTGAGGGTCTCTGAGGGAAGATGGTGCCAATTGATTTCCCCATTCTCACTTCCTACTTTTTCCCCAGAAGCCCCCAAAGTGTCCTTGACACCAGCACCCCTCGTATGGGCTGCCCCAGGGGAGGCTCCCCCGGAGTTGCTCTGCCGTGTGTCCCACTTCTACCCTTCCGAGGGCCTGGTGGTGGAGTGGGAGCTCCGGGGCGGCCCAGAGGGTGGCTCTCAGAAGGCTGGGGGGCAGAGTTGGCTCTCTGCCCTGAGCTACCATTCCGACGGCTCTGTCAGCCTCTCGGGGCACTTGCGGCCACTCCCAGTCACCGTTGAGCAGCATGGGGCACGCTACACCTGTCTGGTCCACCATCCCAGCCTACCTGCCTTGGGCCGCAAAGCTGAGGTCACCCTGGAGGTGGCAGGTAAGAGCTGGGAGCGCCCTGGACCCTGAGCTGGTGCCCAGGAAGACATGGAGCTTACTTTTGCCCCTTCCACCTGCCAGGCCTCTCCAGGCCCTCCCTCGAGGATGGCATAGGCCTTTTCCTGTCCTCCTTTCTCCTGCTTGGACTCATCAAAGTGCTGGGCTGGGTCGGTGAGTGTGAGCCCCACCCTGACCGTGACCCCCGACTTGCAGACATTCCCTGCCTACTCCCAGAAGCCTGACACCCATCCCTCTGTCCTCCCCCTCTACCATTCCTGCATCCCATCCCTTCTCAATCTTTCCCCGCAGCTGCCTACCTGTCCACTTGCAAGGAGTCAAAGGAGAAGGTAACAGCACTCCACCTCCCTTTATCTTTCCCTTCTCATTTTACCCCCTCTCCCCACCTAATCACCATGGAGGGAGGCTGCTGGTGTGGTGGGGCTGACACAGACCTGGGTCAAATCCTACTGCTACATCCTAACTGTAGGACCCCTGGAACATGCTACTTAATTTACATCTCAGTTTCCTTGGATGTAGGGATTTAAAAAAATTACTTAGGCAGTGCTGTCCAACAGAAATATAATGCAAGCCACTTATGTAAATTTAAATTAGCAATCCATTAAAAAGCAAACAGGTAAAATTAATTTAATATATACTTTAATCAAATGCAGGGTGAGTATCCCTTATCTGAAATGCTTGGGACCAGAAATGTTTTTGGATTTTGAATTTGCATATGTATAATGATATATCTTGGGGATGGGACCCAAGTCTAAATACAAAATTCATTTATGTTTCATATACACCTTATACACATAGCCTAAAGATAATTGTATACAATATTTTTAATATATGTGACCCATTACATGAGGTCATGTGTGGCATTTTCTACTTGCGGCATCATGTGGCACTCAAAGTTTTGGATTTTGGAGCATTTCAGATTTTGGATTTTTGGATCAGGGATGCTCAACCTGTATATCCAAAATATTATCATTTCAACATGTAAACAATATAAGAAATTATAGCTTTTTTTCTATTCTATGTCTTCAGAAGCAGATGTTTATTTTAAACTCAGCACATCTCAGTTCGGACTAGCCAAATTTCAAATGCTCAATAGCCACATGTGGGTGGTGGCTACCATGTTGGACAATGGAGCCTCGAAGGACTGTTAGGAGGATTAAAGAAGATAGTGCAGGCCAGGCGCGGTGGCTCACGCCTGTAATCCTAGCACTCTGGGAGGCCAAGGCGGGTGAACTGTTTGAGCTCCGGAGTTCGAGACCAGCCTGAGCAAGGGTGGGACCCCGTCTCTACTAAAAATAGAAAGAAATTAGCCAGACAACTAAAAATATACATAGAAAAAATTAGCAGGGCATGGTGGCACATGCCTCTCGGGAGGCTGAGGCAGGAGGATCACTTGAGCCCAGGAATTTGAGGTTGCTGTGAGCTAGGTTGACACCACAGCACTGTAGCCCAGGGCAAAAGAGTGAGACTATGTCTCAAAAAAAAAAAAAAAAAAAAAAGATAGTGCATCTCCTTTAGAAGATGCAGGAGATAAAGCATTCAGCAATGTCTGGCAGGTAGAAAACACAGAAAATGTTAGCCCCATCCTTCTCCCACTCTCTGTGCACCTGACGGTTAATATGTCTCTGGAAGGAAGCTCACCTGCCTTCTAACCCCCTGAATTCCTCACCTCCTTCTCTTCCAGAAAGCACAGTGAGGGCACTCATCACCATTCTGTGGAAGCCACCATCATCTCTGGCTCCAGCTACCGTAGTAGCTCCCAAAACTAAAACCCCATCATCTGCTCCTACTCCCTCCAATCTCCTTCCACTGAGTGGCTTTTTAAAAAAAGAAACAAATCTTATGGCATTCGCCTTCTTAGAGCTCTAGGGCAGTGGTTCTCAAAAATTTTTGGTCTCAGGACCTCTTAAAAATTATCAAGAACTCTAAAGAGCTTTTGTTTATGTGGGTTATAACTATCAATATTTATCATACTAGAACATAAAACTGAGAAAAATTTGAAACAAGAATACACAAGCACACATTCCATTTGTTGTGAGAACCATGGTGTCAATACATATCACATAGCTTCTGGAAGACTGAACTGTTCACTCTTGGAGAATAATGAAAAAGGCAAATAACACCTTAATTTTGGTATAAAAAGTCTTAATTTCGCATACCCTCTGAAATATTAAGTCTCAGGGACCTCTGAAACAGAGACTACATTCAGGGAACCGGTGCTCTAGGGACAAATCCATTCTTCTTGGCCCAGCCTTTGTGTCCCCTGAGCCGGAGCCACTGCCTATCTATCTCTCCAGCCCTACATGGTTCCCCCTACCCCTACCCAAGGCCTCCTCTCAATGCTCATTACACGGATGGCTATTCCTTTTCTCCAGTGAAGCAAACGCCTCCCGCCTGCCTCCGGGTCCCAGCGCTCTTTTCCCTTTGCCTGGTCCATCCTCGCCCTCCCTGGGTCCCAGACCAGGTCCGCCTCGCCATTCCCCTCTGACTGCCGCGGGTCCCTCTTGTGCGGTTCTCCAGTTGTAGTTAAGTGATTGTGTGAGTCGTCGTTAAATGCCTGTCTCCCCTCCCGGACTGCGGGCGCCTGGAGGACACGGGCGAGCCTGCCCACTGCGGTACGCTCCACGCCGGCACCGGGCCTGACGCCCACTGGGGGGCGCTAAGCAAATAGCTGCTGGATGTCGGACGAAGGAAGCGGTGGCGCAGTTTAGGGTCAGGACTGTCGCCCAAATAGACAGGGGAACGGACCTAAGTGGGAATAAAGTTGTGTTCCAGTGCTTCCAACCGCGTCTCTCATTCTGCCCCCTTTCCAACCACAATGAATCTTCCAAACGCCTCCGGTCCGTTTCAATGCCCCCGACCTCCCAAACGTCTCGGAGACATCTGATCCCCGGTTGAAACCGTTTGGGGTCGGGCGCCACTAATGGCGCACAAGACGCCTCAAAGCCGCGGGCTCTACCCCGACCAGACCAGCGTAATAACCGAGCGAAGGTCGCGGCCTGGGCGCCGGAAGCCCGGAGCGCCGAATCTGGAACCGGATGTGGCGGCTTCCTGCCCCGCCCCCTTGCGCGAGGGAGGGAACCGATTGCTCCTCGGAAAACCCGGACTGGATTTCGGTCCGCTGCACTCGTGGGTTGGGGTGGGGAGAGTAACCCCGTGAGTTGGAGTGGCGGGGTTTCTCCCCACCTAAAACGCTCTCCGCAGGCGTTTTAGCCTTGTTCTTGTTGGGGAGGGGAATGTCAAATTCTGCTCCTGCTCTCTCCCGGGAGCAGGTGACTGGAATCTGTCCCAATTCAGTGTAGGGCGACGTGAGCTCCAGAATCCCGGGGGGTGGGGGCGGAGGACAGTGGAGCTGGGGACCCGGCCTCCTGGGCTCCGGCCCCTGGGCGTCCAGCGTTCCCCTAGCTCGCGGCCCTGGCTCCTGTCCTCACTTCCTTCCCCTTTTGGCTCCTGCTTTCGGAGCGGGCGGACGCGGGGGGGAGCGGAAAGGGCGGGAGGGCCCAGGAGCCCCGCGGAAGGGGATACAGGGGGGTACGGAAAAGCCCGGGAGGGGACTCGATCCGGGGACTCGGTCGGGGACTGGAGACAGACGGGAACAGCGGCCCGGGACCCACGCTGTCCCCACCCCTCCCGAGCAGGTCAGAGCCTGAGCACCTTGTGACCCTGCCCGTTTCCGTACTCGTAAGCCCCTTATCTCCAAAATGCACCAAGGGCCCCTATATTAAACCCCTGTGTTGCCCCCCTACCCCTGCCTTCCCGCAGAACTCCCATCCAGTTATCTGGACACCTACCCGTATCCCTTCCCTGCCCCGCTCCCCCGCGCCCGCCTGACTCTCCACCCCCACCCGGTCTCTCCCCAGGCGCCCCCATGGCCCGACCCCGCTGATTGCTTCACTCGGCCATGCTCCCGCGGCCCCTGCGGCTGCTTTTGGACACGAGCCCCCCCGGGGGAGTCGTGCTGAGCAGCTTCCGAAGCCGAGACCCCGAAGAGGGTGGGGGCCCAGATGGCCGGGTCGTGGGCGGGGGGCAGGAGAAAGAGGAGGAGGAGGAAGAAGAGGTGAGACGTGGGTGGTGGGAGGTAGGGGGTGCATATATTTCAGAGATCTCCATCTTTCTCTTGTCTCTGGGTCCCTACATCTCTTCCTTCCTGCCCCAGTTCCTCCTGCACCTCTCTCTGGTGTCTGCCTGTCTCCCTGCTGCGGGGAGCCCTGGCTTCTCTGTGGTCCTCTGTGTCAGTGTGACTCCGGACTGGCCCTCAGGAACCTGCCCTGTTCCTGCCTGGAAATTCTGGCTGGCTATCCCTGCGGGTCTCTGGCCCTCTCTGCCTATGCCTGCTTAAATGTGCCTGCCTCCCTGAGCAGTTTTGTCCTGGTCCCTGTCTCTCTCCTTGTTTTTGTTTGGCGGGGAGGGGTTTGTTTCCACAGTAACCAGCTCCTCTGACTCAGGGACTGGGGAGGGAACCCTCAGATTTCGTGACCCCACCCTCCCCTCCCCTGGCCTGGTGCTGGGTAGAGGCCAGGAAGCCAAGGTTCTGGGACCAGGAGGGATGATCCTAGGCTGGGTAGAGTGGTCACCTGCTTTCCTTAGGGCTAATGGTGGTGGCCAGGAGCAGGATTTGGGGCTTCAGGAGGGGCCAGAAGTTGGACTTGGGGCCTGGAGGTCCTGGACTCCTGGGTCCAGACACTGGGTGAGGGCAGGGTGACTGGCAGGGCTGGTTTTTCGGGATCGGTCAGGGGAGGGGCTGGGGCCACGTGACTCTCTGAGCCTATCCCCCACACCATCCCCACTTCCCCTTCCCCTTCCTGTACTGGGATTGGAACTGCCACCTTCACGGGGTCCCCACCCGAGGGACCAGGATGAAAGGGGGCCTGAGGGAAGGACTAATTCTTTGGGCTTGCCGGGTCCTTGAGGGGGAGGGCGGGGCATGTGGCTGTGCCTGTGACTGAGGTTTCAGCTTCTGAGGTCGCTGCCTCTGGCTCTCTGCCTCTCACTGCCCTCTCCTACCCTTTGCACCCTGCATCTCTGTTGTGTTGGGGTCAGCTCTGGGGAGAAGGGGCTTCAGGGGTCTCCAGGATCAGGGTTCCTGCACTCCATCCACCCCCTCACTGCAACCCCCTCGACTCCACCGAGCCCTGAGGCGGCTGGGGGGGGGCTGTCTGGGCCCCAGTGGGGGAGACCTGGGGTCACCAGCCCCCCCCACCCCTCGCACTCGCTGGTATTGCCCCCCGCCATCACAGGTGAGGGGTACAGACGGAGGAGCAGGGCCTGGGGTGAGTGAGGGCTGAGGGCAGTGGGGGTGGTATGGAACTGTCTGACTTCCCCTTCCTTGCTCCTCCAGGCCCCTGTGTCTGTCTGGGATGAGGAGGAGGATGGTGCCACGTTTACTGTCACAAGCCGCCAATATCGGCCTCTTGATCCCTTGGTGAGATCATGACTTTGGCTTCTCACCTCTGACCCATCATCTCCTAGTTCCCCTTGCTCTGGCTGACTTTCTGGCCAGGACGCTAGGTTGAAGGTCTGGAGTCCTGGATTCTGCTTTGTGACGTAGGCCAAGTCTTTCGCCCTCTCTGAATCTCAGCAAAATGAGCCTGGATCATCTCCTAGGACTGGGACTGTCCCTAGAAATCTAGGGACAGAGTTGCAGAAAGGGTCAGTGACCATCCCTCTGTGTCCTCCAGGCCCCCATGCCTCCCCCGCGTTCCTCCCGACGGCTCCGGGCTGGCACTCTGGAGGCCCTGGTTAGACACCTTCTGGATACCCGGACATCAGGGGCTGACGTGACCTTCGCGGCAGCCTTCCTGGCCACCCACCGGGCCTTCACCTCCACACCTGCCCTGCTAGGGCTTATGGCTGACAGGTCAGGGTCATAAGGGACCAAGGGTCATGGAGGTGTTTGGACTTCCTAAAGCCCCCACATCCCGCCAAAACAGTCAGAGCCACTGGGGCTTTGGGGAAAATGGACAGATTCTCTTCTTCCCAGGCTGGAAGCCCTTGAATCTCATCCTGCTGATGAACGAGAGAGGACAACAGGGTGAGTGCGCCCTGACCTCAGTCTCCCAGTCGCCTCTGCCCATGCTGCGGCTTTACCTCTGACCCTTGGCTGATCGCCCCTCTCTCAGGGTAGCCATCTCTGTACTGTCAACCTGGCTGGCCTCTCACCCTGAGGATTTTGGCTCTGAGGTCAAGGTTCAGCTTGACCGGCTTGAGAGCTTCTTACTTCGGACAGGGTATGCAGCAGGGGAGGGTGTTGGGGGGGGCAGCGCTGACCTCATCCGCAATCTCCGGTCCCGGGTGGACCCCCAGGCCCCCGACCTTCCTAAGTCCCTGGCCCTCCCCGGCGATCCCCCTGCTGACCCCACGGATGTCCTGGTGTTCCTCGCTGACCACTTGGCCGAACAGCTGACCCTGCTAGATGCGGTGAGACCCTGACCTCTGACCCCCATGCCCGTTAACCCCTTACTACCCTCTCCTTGACTCCAGATCCTTCCCTTGCTTCCAGCCCTTCCTGATCCAGTTCCCAGCCCCTTCCATCTACCGTTTGGACCTTTCCCCTTTTTCCCTTGGTTGTTATCCTTCAAACCCTGTGCCCCCTGGTTCCTTGGCCACCTGAAACCCTCTGATCCCTGATATTGGAAGGCTCACCTCACTTGACTATGAACTTTAACCTCTGACCTCTGCTTTGCAGGAGCTGTTTCTCAATCTGGTCCCCTCTCAGTGCCTGGGGGGCCTATGGGGACACAGAGACCGGCCAGGACATTCCCACCTCTGCCCATCTGTCCGAGCTACTGTCACACAGTTCAACAAGGTGGCAGGGGCAGTGGTTAGCTCCGTCCTGGGGGCTACCCCAACTGGAGAGGGGCCTGGGGAGGTGACCGTACGGCCACTCTGTCCCCCCCAGAGGGCCCGGCTCCTGGAGAAGTGGATCCGAGTGGCAGAGGTTAGAGAGGGTTGCCCTGCCGGGGACTGTGATGCGGAGATGGCTCCCACAACCTCAGCTTTCCACTTGGACCCCGCAGGAGTGCCGGCTGCTCCGAAACTTCTCTTCGGTTTATGCTGTCGTGTCGGCCCTGCAGTCCAGCCCCATCCACAGGCTCCGGGCAGCCTGGGGGGAAGCCACCAGGTGGGGAGGATGGGGCACTGGGCCGGGGGTGGGGGTTCCTCAGAGGGCTGGGAAGAGGGCGTGGCCGAGCCAAGCCTGTCCTCAGGCCGCAATTCTCCCGCACCCAGGGACAGCCTCAGAGTCTTTTCCAGCCTCTGCCAGATTTTCTCTGAGGAGGATAATTATTCCCAGAGCCGAGAGCTGCTCCTGCAGGTGAGGCCCTGTTTTCCGGCTTTCCCAGCCATCCCTGCTCCCTGCTCCTCCTCCCATCTTCTTGTTTTGTCACCACCAGGAGGTGAAGCTGCAGCCCCCTGTGGAGCCACAATCCAAGAAGGCCCCGAGGTCTGGCTCCCGGGGTGGGGTGAGTGACTAGCGGGGCTGTGGTCGTGAAGGAGTGAGGAGTGTGTTTGTGGGGAGCAGTCTGAGGGCTGCGAACGGGAGGCACAGGGTGAGCACAACGAAGTCTGTCCTCTGAGGCAGGTGGAGGGAAAGTGCGGAGGGATGGTGGGCCCTCATTCCGTGGCAGGGGCGTCTGACCCTGACCCCTGACCTCAGGGTGTGGTCCCATACCTCGGCACCTTCCTGAAGGACCTCGTGATGCTGGACGCAGCCTCCAAGGATGAGCTGGAGGTCAGTGGGGTGTGTGTGTGTCCCTTGTAAGGAGGTGACAGGCGGGCTGCAGGGTCAGACAGACTCCCTTCCAAAAAGGGGCTGTAAGGTGTAAACGGCTGAGACTGGGACTCTGGAGCCAGATCTGTTACTGCAGCAAGTGGCGTAGCCTCTTTGTGCCTTGGTGATCTATAAATGGGAAGTTAGCCATAGTATCTGTATCAGTCTGTTATTACGAGGGTTAAATGAATTTGTATTTGTCAGGCACTTAGAACATGCCTGAAATGTAAGCATATATAGAATATAGTTTGTTAAAGAAATAAATACTGAGACCTTGGGCAAACTCCCATCCTCTCCGAACCTCAGTTTTCTTATCTGAATAGTAGACATGTTTTCTACCAGAGATACTCGATTTAAAGGGTCAGTGCAGTGCTCGGGGCATGATAGACTGAGGGGGAGGGGGAGGAGGGATGGGGGAGTCAGAGGCCAGAGGGAAGTGTTTGTGAGTTGGTTGTGGATGTGTGTGTGTTTAGGAGAGGACATATTCCCTCTCTGTGGCCTGGAAGGCAGGGCTAGGACTTTGACCCCATCCCCATTTTCCTTGCAGAATGGATACATCAATTTCGACAAGCGGAGGAAGGTGAGAGGAGTTCTTGGGCTGGATGGTAGACATCCCTATCCATGTCCCAGGAGGAGGAGGAAGGGAAAGTCGGGGGTCCCTGAGTTTTTGGCCCCTGCAATTTGAGGGCTCCTTCCCAGGAGTTTGCTGTCCTTTCTGAGTTGCAACGGCTCCAGAATGAATGTCGTGGCTATGACCTCCGACCTGACCATGATATCCAACAGTGGCTACAGGGGCTCCAGCCACTGACAGAGGCCCAGAGGTGACTGGCTGGGTGAGGTTGGGACTGTAGGGCTCTGGCTGGGTGTGGGGGGTTGGTGTCATGTCCTGACCTCTGCCTATTACCCCCACCCCAGCCACCGTGTGTCCTGTGAAGTGGAGCCACCTGGTACCAGTGACCCTCCTGCCCCAAGGGTGCTTCGGCCAACACTGGTCATCTCACAGTGGACAGAGTGAGAGATTCAGCAGTTGGGGGTGGTTTCTAGGGAACTTGCCCCTCTTATTCTGACCTTCCCAATCTCCTGCCACTCCAGCGTTCTGGGCTCTGTTGGGGGCCCCACCCCCTTGGTGTCCTGGGACAGGCCCAGTATGGGGGGAGATGAGATGCCTGGAACCCCTGCTCCTCTGCTGACCCGCCTGGCTCAGGTGAGCTCTGCTCCTGACCTCTGACCTTGACACTGACCCTAACTCTGTGAATGTTTCTTTTTTAATCTCCCCACCTTCATGCCAGTCCCCCTATGTTGTTTGTTCTAGCACATGAAGTGGCCGTCTGTCTCGTCGCTCGACTGTGCCCTGGAAAGCAGTCCATCGCTGCACAGTCCAGCTGACCCCAGCTACCTCTCTCCCCCAGCCTCCTCCCCTAGGCCTTCTCGAGGTCACCGCAGATCAGCTTCCTGTGGCTCCCCACTGAGTGGGGGTTCAGGAGAAGGGACCTCCAGGGGCACTGGATATGGGGGAGGGGGATCTGGGCCAGGGGCCTCTGATTGCCGAATCATCCGAGTCCAGATGGAGCTGGGGGAAGATGGCAGTGTCTATAAGAGCATCTTGGTGAGGGAGCCTTGGGCTGGGGGTGAGGGTGAAGGATGGTACTTCGTTGGACTATAAATGTTGTCTTAGTTTTGGGCAGCCAAGTGGAGTTGATTCTAGTTTTAATTTTGACCTTTAGTTTTGGCAGTTATGTTTTATTTTGATGGCCACTTTGCATTAGCTGCTGTACCTTAAACTTTCGGTGGCCATATTAGATTTTCAGAACCAACAGCAGTTTCCCCCCACAGGAAGCAGCAGTGTTTCACTGGGCACCATGTGGGCTGGCTTATGAGGTACAGGGACCCACCATATTAGGTTCCCCTGTTCATTCTAAAGCCTTGGACACAGGTAACCTTTTTAGGTTAGGTCAGTGGCTAAGGTTGGAAGGATAGGAAGCAGAGGTCATCATGGCCGATTTATTGCTCTTTTGGTCTCCTGTCCTGCCAGGTGACAAGCCAGGACAAGGCTCCAAGTGTCATCAGTCGTGTCCTTAAGAAAAACAATCGTGACTCTGCAGTGGCTTCGGAGTATGAGCTGGTACAGCTACTACCAGGGGACCGAGGTCAGAGGCCACAAGGGAAAGGCAGACTCGGGAAGAAAGTGGAGTGCTTCCACATCTGGGCGGTTGTGGGGGGAATGATTGTTTGTGACTGACATCTACCCTCGGAACCTGCAGAGCTGACTATCCCACCCTCGGCCAATGTCTTCTATGCCATGGATGGGGCCTCACACGATTTCCTCCTGCGGCAGCGGCGAAGGCCCTCTACTGCTACACCAGGCCTCACCAGTGGCCCCTCTGCCTCAGGAACTCCTCCGAGTGAGGGGGGAGGAGGCTCCTTTCCCAGGATCAAGGCCACAGGGAGGAAGATTGCACGGGCACTGTTCTGAGGAGGAGCCCCTGTTGGCTTACAGAAGTCATGGTGTTCATACCCGATGTGGGTAGCCATCCTGAATGGTGGCAGTTATGTCACATTGGGACAGAAATTTAGAAAGGTGGCTGCCACCCTGGGGCAGTGAAGTGCCATTGGTTTACCAGACAGCTGAGAAATCCAGCCCTATGGGAACTGGTAATCTTGTAACCAAGTTGGATACCAGTGTACAGCTCCCCCCTCCCATGAGTGCAGCACACACCTAGTGCTGGAAAAAGGCATCAGTTTCTGATTCCTGGCCACATCCTAGCGAAGGGCCAAGGAAAGGCCTAGAAGTTGCAGGGTGGGGAGGAGAGGGGAGGAGGGCCTAAAGTCTCTGAGCCCCAGGGTAGAGGGGGATGGCAAGAAATAGGTTCTAGCAGTTCCTTTTCCCACTCTGGGTGTTTCTATCACTGTGACAACACTAAGATAATAAACCAAAACACTACCTGAATTCAACTCCCCTGTCATTGCAGTGCATTGAACTGGCTACTGGGAGAGGGGGTGGGGAATTGGCTGAAGGTAGAAGCCATGGAACAGGAAGGGGCATGAAGAGCTGAAAATGAGGTATTGGTGAAAACGGCTTCCTCAGAACAGTTTATTATTCTCCACCCCGGTCCCTTCATTTACTGTTAAACTTTCCTCCTCAGTTGTCACAAACCCATGTCAAGTAGTGGCCACCAAATTAAAGTGATTAGTATGAAGGACTCCCCTGGCTGCAAATTTTTAAGAAGCAATTTTAGGACAAATAAATGGAAAAACAACCTTGTGGACAACACGTACTTGGTGGTGTTGGAAGACTTACCAACACCATAGAGCGTTATGTGCTGGAATTTTAAATCAGTTTAAGCTGCATTCAAACAAATTCTAAGAAGTCAGAGGCTAAAAAGAACTGAAAGAGATTTTAGGGCTATTTGGAAGATGACAAGTATTCATAGCAAGAAGGGTAACCATGCTTTATCCTGGGGTCTCAGGTTAGAGAATTGTGAGTTCTTCGATTAAACTGACATTCCTAACAATATGCTGTAAATGCCTTTCTAAAGGGTTTCCTAAAGGGTCATGCCAACCAAGATAAGGGAGAGTTAAGGGTTCTATGTACAGGCAAGAAGCAGGTTTGAGACATTTAAGATTTTAGTTTCAAGAAAGCATGATTACCCTGCCACAGAGAGATTCCAACTGCAAGAGTCTGGACCTGAGGGGAGTAACACAGGTGCAATATGTATAAGGTGGAAGGGGCTGGGGAGATGGGTGGAGACAATTATGATGGAAGTGACTGGTCAGAAAATAAAGCCAGGTATTTTTACATTTTATTAGCTACAGTACAGATCCTAGAGCTGCCTCATTCCCTCCCCCCCCACCATGGGGTCAGGCCTTCCCAGGAACCCCTGCCTTTGCCGCCTGGGCCCGCTGGAACTCCTGCTGCAGCTGAGCAAGGGTTTCCCTCTGTTGCTCTGACTGCCGCTCCAGGTCCCGGAGCTGGGATTCGTATCTCTTACTGAGGAGAAACAAGGGAGACAAAGAATCAGAAAAGGAGAAATTAATGGGAGTTATTGAGGGTGCTGAGGGCAAGAAAGAGATTGGTAGAAAACTTGAGATCTAGGGGAGGGAGGAGTAGGGGGATTAAAAGGGAAGGAAGGGGTTGGAGGAACTGGACAACCGGAGACTGACTATGGAGAGCTACTCTGCGATCGTTCGTCAACACCTGTACTCCAACGGTGTCAGTTGCAGCACATGGTGGCAGAACAGAGACTCACATTTCAGCTGTGATATACTCCAGCCTCTTCCCCACTGTGGCCCGAGCCTCCCCCAGCTCCTGTTTGACCAGCACAGGACCCAGAAGTTTAAAGACCACGTTGGACCCATCCAGCAGGGCCAGTTCCTGATGGAGGGGTAGGACGTATATGATCAGAACCAAGGCCAGTACAGGTCCCTCCTCGCCCCACACATCCCAGTCCCTCACCTCCTTCACGATATTATTTTCTGTTAGTTGTGCCTCAAGCTTCTGCCTCCCTGACATGGATTTACTCAAGTCTGGGAGTAGGAGGAAAGACATGATTAGAAACGTCAAATATGCCACCGACACCCCACAACCCCAGTTAGAAGAAAACGGATCTGAGAAAGTAGACGAGGATGGGGGCAGCGGGTCAGTGGCTAGAGAAGAGTATTGAAGAGGGAAAGTAGCTGCACGCGGGGGCCCGGATGCGGCAGAAAACCTTATCTTGGTACGGCTCTGGGTTGTGAGTGGATTGGGGCGAGGTCACACCGACCCTGCTTCCTTACCCTTCTGTAGCTGCTGATATTTCTCCACTTCTCCCTGCAGCTTCTTCTGGATCAGCTCAGCCATGGCGGGGATAAAAGCCTGCGGGCAGCGGGAGAGGGGCGCCGGTCTCACTCTCAGGAAGGTCCCTGAGCTCCCCTTTCTGGCCAGGCCTGCGGAAATGACAGCACTCTTGAGAGGCAGTCCCTCGGCGCACCGCAGCCTCTTCCTGTCCTGGATATCGACTCGACTCTGGCGAAACTCGAGACCCCAACCCTCTCAACCGAAACCCTAACCTACCCACGTTCTCCCTTCAGTATTAACAAACTCGGAAGTAAACAAGGAATGCTGGGAAAAGACGGCCGGAAGCTGCTTTCTGACACAAGCCGGGAATGTAGTTCTCACATATTTAATGAGTGGTGTTCTGCTAAAAAGATGGGACTCAGAAGTGTTTAGGCAAGATGGGGAAGTTAATCCGGAAAAAGAAACCGCACCGTTACTTGGGCGCTGGCCCCAGACCTGCCTTTTTCCCATTACTCGGGCATAAACTGCCGCTCGCGGGGGCGGTGACAAGGCCTGCCCCGCCCCTCAAAGGAGAGCGTGCCCTCACTCAAGATGGCGCCTAGAAGGCTTCAGACCTGGTACAATGCTGATTGGATGAGGGTCAGAGGACTTCCGGGAATTGCCAAGCCCGTTGTGGGACAGCTGAGAGGAGTTTTGCACGTGGATCGGTGTTCGGGAGGGCGAGATGGAGAGAGCCCCCAAGCCGGGCAGGGATGTCCCACCCAAGAAGGACAAACCTCAGGCCAAGCGGAAGGTAGAGGCCTTCCTGGGTGGGAAAGGAAGTTTTTTGTTTGTTTGTTTTTTATATTTTTGCCCCCCTAAGATGTCCATGTCCTGGGGAAAGGAAGATTTTAGCTGCAGGTTCGTGGGGCGGAGCGTGGACAGGAGTATCAGAGTGCCTGGTCTTCTCGTAGAAACCGCGGCGATATTGGGAGGAAGACACCGCTCCGACCACAGCCCGAGCCTCTCCGGGGCCTCCTCGTAACAAGAAGAGGAATCAGGAGCTCCGCCCCCAGAGGCCAAAGACCACTCACAACCTGAAGAAGTCCCGGATCTCTAAGAAGCCGCAGGTCCCGAAGAAACTCAGAAAACGGAAGAATCCAGAGCCCCAGCGAAGCTTGTCTGGGGTGAGCTTGGGACCTGATGGGTGGCAGGGCACGTCGCCTTGTGCTTTGAGAGTGAGAGGGTTAGGGATCAACCCGAGCCTGTTTGCTAATTGCCTCCTCCCTGCCCCAGGCCCAGGACCCATTCCCAGGACCTGCTCCCGTCCCCGTGGAGGTGGTACAGAAGTTCTGTCGCATTGACAAATCCAAAAAGGTGAGATCCAGTCGGAGATTGGAGCAGGGTTGGAGGCAGGGAGTGTCTGGGTGCATTGGATAGAGTCTTGACCAGGTGGCTCTCCTTTGACCCTACTTATCCTCTGGTTCTTCACCTACTCTTTCTCCACCAACAATTTTACAGCTACCACATTCGAAATCCAAAACCCGAAACAGACTTCAGGTGGCTGAAGCTGAGGAAAAGGAAACAAGTGTCAAAGCTGCTCTTTCTGAGCTGCTGCTTGCTGAGGAACCTGGGTAAGTGTACCCTAATTTGGGCCTCCCTAGTCCTTGCTTTACGGGACTGTCTTTTCTCGTTTTTATGTTGGTATAGCCACTTCATATGGGAAGCTTTACGGCCGTCCTAACGTTCACTTGCAGATTTTTGGAAGGAGAGGATGGGGAAGATACAGCAAAGATACTCCAGGCTGACATCGTGGAGGCCGTGGACATTGCAAGCGCAGCCAAGGTGAGCCAGAGGAGGGTTGGTTCGTGGTGCAGGGCAAGAGAGAAATGGGGACTAGAAGAGAGAATTACTGAAGACAATTCATTCTGTCTTGATTTTTTTTCCTCCCACTTTTCTTAGCACTTTGACTTGAATCTGCGGCAGTTTGGACCCTATAGACTGAACTACTCTCGAACTGGGAGGTAAGGGTTGTATTCCAGCGACTCTTGAACTAAAATGTGGTTGTGTTTTCTTAACCAGTTCAGCCATGCCCAGAATACGTTTGGGTGGTTGATGCGGGGAGGGTCCTGCGATTTGCTCGGGTGTGAGGGTGAGCATCTACAGCAACAGCTGTCCTCCCACGTGGAGAGGAGGGGCTGGTGTGGGGCAGACCTCAGACTGAGTCAGGGTGCTCCCCTGTAATAACACCTTGCCTGTCCCTCACGTCCAACAGACACCTGGCTTTTGGAGGGCGTCGGGGTCACGTGGCTGCCCTTGACTGGGTGACAAAGAGGCTTATGTGTGAGATCAACGTCATGGAGGCAGTACGGGACATCCGGTCAGTGGTCAGTGGGGGTGAGACAGCCCATCCTTCATTGAATGACAGCCCATGACCCTGTCTCCTAATGACCCGCCACTCCTCTCCCCACAGGTTTCTCCATTCTGAGCCGCTGCTCGCTGTCGCTCAGAACCGCTGGCTTCACATCTATGACAACCAGGGCATTGAGCTCCACTGCATCCGCCGCTGTGACCGAGTAACACGGCTTGAGTTCCTGCCTTTCCACTTCCTCCTGGCCACAGCTGTGAGTGGCTGTGAAGCACAGGGACTGGGTGGCAGTCCTTGGGAAGACCACTTCTCCTCAAGGACCCCAGTAGAGAGAAGACAGGGCAGTCAGGACCCAGTCATTCTCTCTCTCTCTCTCTCTCTCTCTCTCTCTCTCTCTCTGTCAGTCAGAGACAGGGTTTCTGACTTACCTGGATGTATCGGTGGGGAAGATTGTGGCAGCTCTGAATGCTCGGGCTGGACGGCTCGACGTCATGACTCAGAACCCTTACAATGCCGTTATCCATCTTGGACACAGCAATGGTCAGTCCCTGGCTTGGCTTTGACTCTTTGACCATCCTGACTTGCTTTCCTTCTACAATTTGTACTTCATACATCCCTTAAAATTACCCTTTTGTTTCCCTCTTTTGTTATTTCTTGGTCTTCAGTCCCCATCTTTCCCAAGTTCAGTAACCTCAGGGTTAGGTTTGTGTTGGTAACTTTAGTTCTTCTTTTCATTACTTCCAGGCACTGTATCTTTGTGGAGTCCAGCTATGAAGGAACCGCTGGCAAAGATTCTCTGTCACCGTGGTGGGGTACGGGCTGTGGCAGTGGATTCTACGGGCACGTAAGTCACTTGTTTAGGGGTGAGGTGTTGGGTGTCACAGCTGGGCAGAAAGGTATGGAAGGCAGTGTGCCATTAGGAGCACAAGCTCTGTAGCCAGGCTACCTGGGTTTAAATCTCGGTGTTACCGCTGCCCAGCCATGTAAGTGTGGGCACATCACGTAATCTCTGTGTGCCACGGTTTCCTCACCCTGAGTGTGGTGATATGAGTGTCTAGCTCAAGGGCCAGCAGACTTTCTCTGCAAAGAGCCAGACAGTAAATGTTGGAGGCCTTGCTGGCCAAGAGGCAAAAATTGAGGGTATTATGTAGGTACTTAAATAATGACCGAGAAAACAAATTATCATTAAGTTTTAAGCAATGAAATTAAACATATAATAATTGAATATGATATTCTTGTACTACAGATCTACTAATGGGAAGAACTGAATTTCTCTTTTTTTTTTTTTGAGACAGAGTTTCACTGTGTTGCCTGGGCTACAGTGAGTGCCGTGGCCTAGCTCACAGCAACCTTACACTCCTGGGCTCAAGCAATCCTTCTGCCTCAGCCTCCCAAGTAGCTTGGACTACAGGCATGTGCCACCGTGCCCGGCTAATTTTTTTTAGTTGGCCGATTAATTTCTTTCTAATTTTAGTAGAGACGGGGTCTCGCTCTTGCTCAGGCTGGTCTCAAACTCCTGAGCTCAAACAATCCGCCCGCCTCGGCCTCCCACAGAGCTAGGATTACAGGTGTGAGCCACCGCACCCGGCCTGAATTCCTCTTTTTGAGGAAAACATTTTGCTTAGGTGAGGTTCAAAGTTAGTATTCTAAATCATCCAATTTGATTGCAAATATTCACGTTAATGCTGATCTGTAGAGAGATTTTACATATTTCATCTTTGAAAACATCTTTTCACACCGGTGATGATGTAGGTGGTATGTGAGATGCTCGAAATGCTATCAGGTCATAACTGTGTCACTGCGACTTGTAGTGTACACCAAGCAGCAGGGCAAATCGAGATGCCATAGTCTCCATCTTGGTCACTGGACTGTGGTGTGACAGAGCGAAAGCAGCCACAGCATAAGTGCATCGAGTGTGGGTGTGTTCCAGTAAAACTTCATTTGTGGGCTGGATGCAGGGGCTCATGCCTACAATCCTAGCAGTTTGGGTGGCGAGGCAGGAGCAACACTTGAGGCCAGGAGTTTGAGACCAGCCTGAGCAACATAGAGAGACCCTGATGCCACAAACAATAGAAAAGTCAGCTGGACAGGGTGGTATATGCCTGTGGTCGCAGCTACTTGGGACTGAGGCAGGAGGATGGCTTGAGCTCAGGAGTTTGAGGTTGCAGTGAGCTATGATGACGCCACTGCACTCTAGCCCAGGCAACAGAGCAAGACCCTGTCTCAAAAAACAAACAAACAAAACAACAACAAAAAACTTTATTTGTGTACACTTGAATTTGAATTTCATTTAATTTTCACATCTCTAAATATTCTTCTTTTGGTTTTTTTTTTTTTTTTTTTCCCAACCACCTAAAAATGTAGAAACCATTCTAAGCTTATGGGCTGTACCGAAATAGCTGGTGGGCAGATTTGGCCCATGGGAGTAGTTTACCAAGCCCTGGTCTAAAGCCCTCACATAGCTGTGGTAGACTTTAAAACTCGTTAAGGCACATACAGAGTTTAGCACAGCGCGCAGCAGATGGGCAGCACTGCTGTCATCGTTGTCGTCATCAAGGTGGTCGTTCTCTTCAGGTCTGGCTGGTGATGTGAGGGGCGGGGGTGGTGTGTCTGCCTCGGATTCCTGCTGTTCCTGAGGGAGTATCTGCATCTTCCACAGCTGCGCTTTCTGATTTGTACCTTCCTCTAATTCCTTTCGTCCATCAGGCATTCACAGGGCACCTGCTGTGGGTGGGGCTCTGTGCCGAGGTCCTGGGGACACAGGGATGAATTGTTGAGCCTGCCTGGTGTGGTTTCTAGTTACACATCAGGTACAAAACAGGTGGCCGTGGTTTATGGGAATGAGGCCAGGTGATACATTTAGTTTCTACTCAGTTGTCTTCTGTCATCCCAGACTCAATGTGACCAAACTGAATAGGTCACCTTACTCCCAGAGTTCCTCCTGGCCTGCTCCCGTTCTCCCAGAATTTTCGTCACCCAGAATTTTCGTCACCCAGAATTTTTATCACCCAGAATTGGACTTCTTTGACTCCTGTAGCTATACATAGTCCTCATGTTCTTTGGCCATCAGGAATAGCAGGAACCAAAAGTACTGTTTCCTGAGTGCCTTCTGGGTCCCCCGGCTCTGATACTTTGGCGGCATCATGACTACCTGTGAAGTCCTGGCTGCTTTTCCTCAGGGGTCCCTCCCAGAGCTGTCTCCATCCTTGCTGTCTCCTGTGGGCCTGAGTGATACATCCATTTCCAGCCTCTGGCTCACTCTTGCTTGTCCTGGGCACTCTTGTCAGAATAATCTTTCCCACAGGCTGCTTTCCTCCTTTTACACTGCTGCTCAGGCATCTTCTACGTTAAGTATAGACTACATGATCTGTTTTTAAGTTGTTTTAAAGAAAATCAATAAGCAAATGCATGTAAAGGGAAAAGCCTGGTGGTCACCAACTTATGAAAGCCTCCAGGGTGCTTGGACCCTCTTGGCCTTCCATGTTTGCATCTTTGTGAACAAGCGATGTGGTTTAGCCCTTTTTACTCCCTATCCGTGCCAGCCTGGCTCTAGGAGAGTGGGGAGGTCTGCCTGAGGCTTTGTGCCTCTGTGGGCCACTGGGCCTACGGTGTAGCTTACCCTTCCTGGGCTGCCTGGGTCAGCCACTGCTCTCCTGTGCTTCCGGCTTGGTCATTAGTTCACTAAAGCCTGGGGTCTGGTCAACACCTTGATGCTGAACAGCTCTGATCCTTGATCTTAGGCCCATCCTCACTTTTCTCTGGTTCTCAGGAGGTCTTCACACAGGCCAGGAGGGGTCCAGAGATGAAGCTGACCATCCTCAAGAGGCTTTCTGGAAGCTTGCGTTAGGATTGGATTGGTTTCTCAAAGCTGAACTGCTTCTTGCAAGTTCAGTAGTACAGTGCTGTGGCCTAGACTGCCCAGGGGGTCCCATAGATGGGTGGGCGTAGGGGAGAGGAGCCAGCACGTGCCCTTGAGTTGTTGCGTCACTGAAGGGCGTGAGCCCGTGTCCTAGGAGCCATCTGCAATTCCTGGTTTGCATTAATAGCCCACTGTGGTGGGGTTGAGGCCCTGATTATCTTGTCAGGGGAAGTACCCAGCTGGACCTGTCATGGGCTCCATCACCAGGGCAAGTCTCGAAGTCCTTGGCCCCTCGGCAAACATACCTCCCCTGCCTGGATGGTCCCCCTTCAGCCTCCCTCTCTGAGGAAAAACTTGAACATAGAAACTCCAACCTTTGAAAGTTGACAGCTTCTGCAGTGCACGGTTCCCTGAGAGGAGGTGGTTACCACCCTTGCCTTCCTCCTTCCAGGGGAAGCAGAGAGGGGCAGGGCCCAGCCCTCCAGCGCATTACTCCACTACTTCCTAAGTAGGTTTGCTCGAGTCCCTGCAGTCTTCAGCTTGTGATTTGTCACTGCCACAGAGCAGTGTCGGGATAATGAGCTGTGGGTCCTCAGTCTGACTTTAAAAAGACCCTACAATTTGTTCCCCTCCTGATTGTCCTGACCATCTTTCCCACCAATCCTGAAAAGCTCATCTCATCTCACTGAAAACAAACCCCTGCTTCCTTCTCATGATGGCACGTGTTAACGTATTTGTACCTGCTATATCTGTTTATCGTGCTTTCTTGAGAATTACCTAGACTGACTCAAATCCCGCCTTGCCCACGAAGCCCTTCCTGACCACTGCAGATGCTCTTTTCCTTTGCTGCGAGTCCAGGCATGGGAACATCACATTTAGGTACAGCCTGCTGAGTGTGTGCTCCCTCGGCCTCGTGTCTTGGAAGGGAGCGTGGTGTGAGCAGGTAAGATGCAGACACTAGAGAAACAGGCCTGACTTGAATCCCAGTCCGACCATTCACTAACCCAGATTTCCTTTCTCTGAGCTTCAGTTCCTCACCTGTAAAAGGGAAATAAAAACAGTACAGAACTGTGTGAGGCTTAACTGAGAGGATGCCTGTGGAGCGTTAGCGGGAGGGCAGCAGTTGTTACCGTTAGTCTTTTTCTCCTCAGGTGGACTTGGCCACTAGCCTGCTTAGTAAACCCATTTACTGACAGATTAATTGATCCTCCTTCCCCCCAGGTACATGGCCACCTCTGGTCTGGACCACCAGCTGAAGATCTTTGACTTGCGAGGGACATTCCAGCCTATGAGTGCTCGGACCCTGCCCCAGGGGGCAGGGCACCTGGCCTTCTCCCAGCGGGGACTGCTGGTTGCGGGAATGGGCGACGTCGTCAACATCTGGGCAGGACAGGGCAAGGCCGGCCCACCCTCCCTTGCGCAGCCCTACCTCACCCACCGGCTCTCGGGCCCTGTGCATGGCCTTCAGTTCTGCCCCTTTGAAGACGTGCTAGGGGTGGGCCACAGTGGGGGCATCACCAGCATGCTAGTCCCTGGTGAGTGGCCCGGGGATGGGGCTCAAAGTGGATCAACTCTGGCTGCACGTTTGGGTGGCCTGAGACAGCCAGGATCGCGGGGCTCGGCCAGGCTGGAGCCGCTGGGTTGGCGTCTTCCTTATGGCTTCATGCTTCTCACTCCCTCCAGGGGCTGCTGAGCCCAACTTTGACGGGCTGGAGAGTAACCCGTACAGGAGCCGGAAACAGCGCCAGGAATGGGAGGTGAAGGCCCTGCTGGAGAAGGTGAGGTTCTCCCCACTGGAGATGGTGTCCGTGTGTGGGGCTGGGGTGGGGAAAGCTCCTCTGCTGGGGATCTTGGGAAGAGGGCTTCAGCAGCCTCCCCGGCTTCTTTGGTGCCACCCTCCTGTGCCCATTCCTGTCCCTCTGTGACACACCCAGGTACCTGCAGAGCTTATCTGTCTGGACCCACGAGCCCTGGCAGAGGTGGATGTCATCTCTTTGGAGCAGGAAAAGAAGGAGCGGATAGAGAGGCTGGTATGCTCGGCCCGAGTGCCCAGGCCCTTCCTCACCCCCACGTCTCCCCATCATGGGCCTGCCCCAGGGGTGTGGCACAGCAGGTGGGTGCTGCTTGTGCCCTGACTCTGAGGCTGTAACAGATTATACTCCTGTCCCCTCCCTCAGGGCTATGACCCCGAAGCTAAGACTCCCTTCCAGCCAAAGCCAAAGCAGAAGGGCCGCAGCTCTACAGCAAGCCGGGTGAAGAGGAAGAGGAAGGTCATGGACGAGGAGCACAGGGTAAATGAGCACTCCCACGGGCCACACTCTCCTGCTTGGACTGCTGGCCACCCTGCTATTTATCCCTTTGCCCATGTCCTCTCTCTCTCTCCTGTCCCCAGGACAAGGTCCGGCAGAGCCTCGAGCAGCAGCAGCAGCACAAGCAAAAGAAGGCCAAGCCCTCGGGGGCCTGGCCATCTGCCCTGGACAGATTCGTGCGCTGAGCCAGGTTCCAGGGTGCCCTGGGAACAGTCTTTCCCCAAGATCACCTGTAGGGCAATGACTGTCCCCTGGAACAAGGAGGGGGCAATGTGCTCCCTTCCCCAATTGGCGATAGACAGCTGGCTCTTTGGGTGGGTTGGTAATAAAGAGGAAAGTGATTTTTTTGGATGATGTGTCTGGATCATCCTGTGGACCTGTTCCCCTCCCCCTTGCTCAGCATGGGGCTATTCTAGGATCAGAGGGGTCACAGTGTTCTGCCTTTATCCCTGCCCCATACCTTGTGGGTGCTGTGGCCTTAGCCTTGCCTTTTAGGAGCCTTCCTCCTCAGAGAGGCTGTCCTTTCTCCTATGTCCCTGGAGATGTCCTTCCAGTTCGGCAGGGCCTAGCAGCCTCTGGGCGGGCTCTGCAGGTTTGTGTTCTGGGAGTCCTAGTGAAGACCACACTGCACTCGAAGAGGTGGAGAGACAACTTTATTGAGGGGTGTTTGCCCCTCTTCTGCCCTGGCTGTAGAGAACAACTCTAGCCCTTTTTTTTCCTTCCTGATGACCATTTTTGGGGCTGGCAGGCCAGGCCCCTAGGGTTCTCCTACATCCCTGTCTTTGGTGACAGACAACATGAGGAAACCGATCAGCTGCAGCCAGCTAGGGCCCCTGCCATGGGCCTGTGAGAAGAGAAGGTCCCAGGGCTGCTGCTGGACCATCAGCCTCATACCTGTCCTTGGCCACAGGTACTGTCAGCTGTGAAGCCAGGCCATTACCCGGCACCGCAGGATGCCCAGGGCTCCCTGGAGCCAGGAGCAGAAGGGCGCGGTCCTTTCTCCAGCAGAGCCACCCACCAGCTTCCAGGCTTCTTGCATCTTCCAGGGGTCCAATTTGTGGGATGTCAGCAAGAACTTCCCATAGCAGCACCGGTCCAGGGGATAATGGGTGGCGCCAGCCAGCTTGACACAGTGGGTTGGGGCGAGGCCGCCTCGTCGGGCACTTACCCCCACAAAGACATCTTCCAGTGGCAGAGGGGGTGCCCCGCTGGCCACCTTCAAAATGAGCTGCACAGCAGAAGCTGACAGCACGTACCCTGTGCCTGAGGCGTAGGGGGGAAAGGAGCCCCAGGTTGGAGGCCACTGCTCCTCTGACACGTGGTGCCGGCCCCCTGGCGTCCTAGAGGGGTTTGCCCGCCAGTGTACCCGGCCCAGGTACAGAAGAGGCACTGCCTTGCTGCGTGAGGCCTGGCCCCCTTCCAGCTGTTCATCTCCGACCGCAGCCTCTGTCCGGGGCTCCGTGCCCCTCTCCCATTGCTCCCAACGGCCTCCTCGCAGGACCAACTCTGACACCAGTTCCGGGACGTTGACAAACACATCATCATCCGTCTTGAGGATGTAGCGGGCCATGGGGCAGTGTTTGTCAGCCCAGTTCAGCCCACTGAGGGTCTTGAGGGTGAGGTTTCGGTAGGAGTCCTGGAAGGCCGCCTGCAAAATGTCCCCCTGGGCAGCTGACTCCCTCTCGAGGTCGTTCCCGTGGGAGCCCCAGGTAGGGTGCTGCCTGTTGGGCTCTCCCAGCAGGAAGAGCGTCTGCACCCTGAGCCCCCGGGCCTCACGCAGCCCACCCCACGAGGCCCGAATGGCGTTTCTCTGGTTCAGGTTCTCCGGGGCTGTGCACACCAGAATTAGCAGGAAGGGAGGAGCGCCGGGACCACCGCAGGCCTCCTGGTTGGGGATCAAGAGGCGGGGCAGGGCCAGGGGCGGCCCTGGTGAGGCCGGGGCTGGCAGTAGGGAGGCTAGCGAGAGGCTCAGCAGCTCCTCCCCAATCCCCGAGGGCCCGAAGAGGGTCCAGACGATCACCACCAGCAGGGCAGCGAGGAGAAGGCGCCGGAAGAGGCTGAGGGGCATGGCGTGGCACAGTTGCTGGGGATCTGGAGGGAAAGGAGGACGCTTACAGGCTGGAGAGCATAGCTCTCCCTGGCCCGGGTCACGGGCTCGTACCTAACGGGCCACGCCTGGGACGCAGCGGGAGGCGCGCGCGGCCAGTACCAGCCCACCCTGGGAGAGAGGCGGCGGCGGCGCAGCTGGGGACCACAGCAGCGGCATCCTGTGCGGATGGTTACCTTGTCCCTCCCCCCCCACCTCTGCTCTGCCAGCTGCCCCACCCCTTCCTCCAGCGGCCGGTATCCCAGCCACTTCCGAGGGATGCGTTTAATCCCCGCCGGAAGCGGCGTCCGAACGGCGCGACGCAGCGGAATACAGGCAGGCGCATGCGCGGGGCAGGCAGGGATACGGTCCGGCGTCTGCTCTGCCGCCCACCACCCCAACCCGCGCGCGATTCACCTCTAAGTCGGGGGTCTCACCGTTACTGCGCTAAGGCCAAGTGACTTTTTCTGTACCAGTCTGCCCCTAACTTTCCAACTATAGGACCCCATCTTTTAGAAACCCAGGGTGCTCAGGACCTGCAAATACCTGACCGCAACTTAAACTGGCTAGGCTCGGCTACCCGCAACCAACCCCAGTAGACTTCGTTGTTGTGAAAACGGGTCTGGGAACCTCCCAAGGCTGCGTATGCTGGTTGTTCCATCTCCCTCGTAGTCTGTACATGACAGGGTGGGACATCACTACTAGCTAGACATAGGGTGACTGGGGGGCAGGGGAAGAGGCCCATCACCATTGCTAAAACCAATAGCATCAGTGTCGCCAGAAGAACGGAGGACCAGTAAGAAGGAAGCCATACGCATATAAACTATTTATTAACAGACAAGGCCTACAGACTTATTTCTTCTTGGACACCCCCACGGTACGGCCTCGGCGGCCAGTGGTCTTGGTGTGCTGGCCTCGGACACGAAGGCTGCAGGTAAAAAAGAGAGAAGGGTCATAGATCACACACAGCACAAAGAAAAGGTTGGGGGGAAAGGAAGACTGAACACAAAGAATAATGGTGGGAGTAAGTCTAGAGGCAGGCAGAAGATGAAACCCCCACCCCCACTCACCCCCAAAAGTGGCGCAGCCCTCTATGGGCCCGAATCTTCTTCAGCCGCTCCAGGTCTTCACGGAGCTTGTTGTCCAGACCATTGGCCAGGACCTGGATTTGGAGGAGAGGGTGAAGATGTTTGTTTCATTCCAACCTCCTGTGCCCAATTCTATTTGGATCCCCCTTTCCTCCAATCCCGCCCCCATCTCAATACACACCTGACTGTATTTTCCATCCTTTACATCCTTCTGTCTATTCAGAAACCAGTCTGGGATCTTGTACTGCCGTGGATTCTGCATAATGGTGATCACACGTTCCACCTGGCAGGCAGGACACGGTAAGATCTAGACGGTCCCTTTCTGAGGCAAACCCAACCCGCAGCCCCTTCCCTGTCCTCACCTCATCCTCGGTGAGTTCACCCGCCCTCTTGGTGAGGTCAATGTCTGCTTTCCTCAACACCACATGAGCGTATCTTCGACCCACACCCTGCAGTGAGAGGTTTGGAATTAGGGTTGAATCTGATTTTTTGTATTCCTTTATAGCCCCATTATTCAAAAACCCCACAGAAGTAGGACCTGCAATAAATTGTTGTTTTACAATTCCCCAGATCACCCTTCCCTCGCCCTCCTTCCTAAATATAAATCTTGGGATAGACAATAACCCCTTGAAAGCAGGGTCTTCATTGCCCAGCATATGTAGCTGTGAACAGGTGTTCTCAGATTTTTGCACTGTGGAGAACAAAGGGCCTGTCTCTCCAAGCCGATGCAGCAAAACCAGTCTTGTGAGTTAACAAGGCTGATCAGGGACTGGATTCAGTTGCTTGGAATCACAATTCTTTAGGCAAGTCTCTGTATTCCCATGATCAAAGGTTTCCAAGCTCACTTGATTTTTTCAGTGCCCAGAGCTAACTCTGCCCAAAAAAATCTCTAAAGATCCTTGTCAGTATAGTGATAACTGATAAAAGAGCAAAAAAATAAAATGAATTTCAAGTATTAAAAAAAACAAAAAATCAAAGAAACCAGTGCTTACATTGGTGGCATGGTATCAAGACCATGCACAAGCACCCCTTGCCATGTGAACTCACAAACCGATTTGGATAGCAAAGGATGGCATGTTGGGTTGAATAGCGCCCCCCAATTTATGTCCACCCAGAACCTCATAATGTAACCCTATTTGGAAAGAAGCTCTTTGTAGAAATAACCAGGTAATTTGAGCTCAGGAGTTTGAAACCAGCCTGAGCAAGAGTGAGACCCCATCTCTACTCGGACAACTAAAAATATATAGAAAAATTAGCCGGGCATGGTGACGCATGCCTGTAGTCCCAGCTACTTGGGAGGCTGAGGCAGGAGGATTGCTTGAGCCCAGGAGTTTGAGGTTGCTGTGAGCTAGGATGACACCATGGCACTCTAGCCCGGGCAACACAGTGAGACTCTGTCTCAAAAAAAAAAAAAAAAAAAAAAAAGAAATAACCAGGTAAAATGAGGTTATACTGGATTAGGGTAGTCCCCAAATCCAATGACTGACAACCTCACAAGAGGAGAGACACAAACCAAGAGGGCACAAAGGGACAAAGGAAAGACTGAAGTGATGCTACAAACCAAAGAATGTCAAAGATTATAGACAACCACCAGATGACAGGAAGAGGCAAAGCAGGATTCTTAGAGCCTTCAGAGGGAGTATGGCCCCTGTGGACACCTTGATTTTGATCTTTTGGCCTCCAGAGCTGAGAGAATAATTTTCTGCCTAGTTTGTGGGAACTTATTATAGTAGCCCTAGGAAACGAAAACAGATGGCATTTCCTCTATGCAAGAAAGTGATGGAGGATCAAATTATCAGGTTGATTCAGTAGAATTCAGGGTCTAATTTACTTAAATATTTACAAATGAGGCTGGGTGCAGTGGCTCACACCTGTAATCCTTGGGAGGCTGAGGTGGGAGGATGGCTCGAAGTCAGGAGCTCAAGACCAGCCCAAACAAGAGTGAGACCCCCATCTCTACTAAAAACAGAAAAATTAGCTGTAGTCCCAGCTACTAGGGAGGCTGAAGCAGGAGGATCGCTTGAGTCCAGGAGTTTGAGATTGCATTGAGCTATGACAGCCACTGAACTCTACCTGGGGCAACAGATTGAGGCTGTCTCAAAAAACAAAAAAACCCACAGATGAATTAGCATATTTGTGATTTACTTCAAAACAGAATGGGTAGAGGTATAAAGGAAGTAAGATTTCCAGTTTTTAAATACATTCATGGGGTTATTCTCTTCTACTTTTCAATGTTTCACTTTTTCATCTTTGAATCCCCCCCAATACCAGATCCTCAAAAAAAGACCATCCTTTCCTTTTCTCACCAGGGGAAGAGCTACCTGTCTTTGCTGGCTCTCCAAATCATTAGACTTCTTACTATAGACTCATAAGTATCTGAAAACGTACTGGTTAAGTTTGTTTTTCCTTGAGTTGTAAGTTGACTACAAATGTTGGCCCAAGTAACTAATACAAAGCCAGTCAATTTCAAAGAGGCAGACAGGACAGATCCAGCGGAAGCATCATCATATTAACCTTGCTTATCTTTTATAAACACTATCTCACTTAAGCCTCACGTCAAGTCTCTGAAATAGGCACTACATTTTACACTGCCTGACTGAAGAAAGCAATTTTCCTCTAATCATTTAAGAACAAAAGCTGTGCTCCCTGCAGTACAGAATAATAATAAAAAAAAAAAATTAAAGGGATTTGACAAACTTTTTATAAACCAAAGAGAAGACTTACTGCTTAAACTAACTTACCTTCTGATAAATACCAATACATGCTCCCTCAAGCTAAACAGGCTCCTTTATCCTCTATAAAATTTTTATTGACTTCCTTAAAATTCCTCAAAACCAGGCAGCAGCATCCCTGGAACCATCCATTCCCCAAGGCTGCACAAGTATCTATCATGCACCAGAAGCTGGAGACTGCGACTAAGACAGGCCTAGCCCTGCCCCTGTGGAGTGTACACACATTGGTAGGAAAGAAAGACATTCAGCCATTTCCAAACTAATTACGAATTCTAATTGAGGAAAAAGAAAAAAAAAAGCCCCCATCTGGAAGACTAGCGATTCAGTAGGTTTGTGGAGAGAAATATCCAACCTTGCATTTACTGACTCCTGCAACAAGCCAAAGAGACGTGTACTGGTTCTCACTTGAATGGGAAAGGAGCAGAAACTCTGGCATCTGAGTACATGCCCTCCTCACACCTCTCCCACCCCCAACTAGGGGTTTCTTCACACTTGGTATCTGCTGGCATTTCTACTTACCCCTCAAAATGTACAACAATTATCCGATTCTAAGGGCACATGAATTTCACAGGAAGAAATGCTGTTAAGATGCAGTGGAGGGGCCGGGCGCGGTGGCTCACGCCAGTAATCCTAGCACTCTGGGAGGCTGAGGCAGGAGGATCGCTTGAGCCCAGGAGTCTGAGGTTGCTGTGAGCTAGGCTGATGCCACGGCACTCTAGCCCAGGCAAGAAATCATCTAGAAGGGATCTCACAAACTGATGGTCCAGAAAAATCTTAGTGAATTCACACAGGCAACTATTTCTACCCTCACCTCCTCAGGTGAAATGTTTTGACTCGACCTTAGACTACTCTCTGGCTCTTCTTACTTATGTTTTGTGAGAAATGTGGTAAGGGATTATTCACTCCCTTAACCATTTTTCTTTTCTTAGCCCAGCAGCCAGGGAGATCTGGATAGGACTCAGGTCTCCTCAACCTTGCCTCTTTTATAGTTTAGGTCTTACCCCAATTTTCGTTTAATTTCTCTACTCTTTACCCTATTTTACCTTAATGGCAGTGATGGCAAAAGCTATTTTCCGCCGCCCATCGATGTTGGTGTTGAGTACTCGCAAAATGTGCTGGAACTTCTCAGGGATCACTAGAGACTGATTGAAAAAGTATGGGG